TATAACTTTAATGCACAAAAACAATGTGTACATATGGCGGACTTAATACCATGCAGAGTTATCTACCAGGCAACCATGAGTGGTGCAGAGAAAGATTGTTGGCGGCGCACTAATATAAATGAGAAATGTAAAAAAAGATATAGCAAAATATTTTAGTGTCCCTAACTGTCAAATATTTTTCATATATGTACATATAAAAAATAGAACTACAACAATAAGCTATATTAATGTAAAGATTCATGAAAATCCACTCAGTAGTTTCTGCATGACATAATTTTCAAATTGCCTAATAAATGCAACACCCACAAAATCTACATAAACGCGCATACAGACATTGTATTATTTTTAATTAAATAATATTATGTTTGTTTGATGTGATCATAAAGATACAACGTATCGCCATGACAAGAGAGTAATAGATCTTCTTGTCACTGTTTGGCTCGAGTCACCGAGTGATTCTGTACTTTTGTTTAGCACACGCTACCTGAAATTATAAACATCGCTTCTGTTTTTTATACCGGTAAGTGTCTTTATCCTTTTTTTTTAACTACAAACAAGATCTTAAGGACTAGCTGATCCGTGCAACTCGTTTGCATCGTACATACTTAACATTTATCGTTATATTTCGCCCAGTTTACATAATGTCCTTTTACATTACAGCTTATATCATTCTAATGTTTGAGCTATATTACTGTAAAGTTTCATCAAAATCCGTTCAGTCGTTTTTGCGTGAAAGAGTAACCATCCATCTATTCATACACAGAAATGTTCATGATATTAATAAGATTTATAACAAAAATATTAACCCTGAACAATTTTACAGAGCGCCATCTAGTCAGAAGCTAAGCAGAACTAGTGTTATGGGTACTAGACAACAGATATAAATACCTCAATCCATTTTTAATACATTATGTGCATACGTAATGCAAATATTGCATGCGTCATACTCGTGAACGGGTGCTGCTTGTAGGGACTGGCCTGCTCTAATCACTATGACTGATTTCCTGTTATTAATTATTTAACCAGTTGGTTGTTTCAACTGGTAGTTTGAATTCATACACTTAAACTTAAAAATGTAAAGTAAGAATAAAATTATTTAAAAGAGCAACACGCAAGTTTCTGGCTCGTTCTTCTTGTGATGAGACAGCTTACCGAATGAGCGGTAGATTAAAAAAAAATGTGATGACTATTCAAAAGTGCTTCAATGTAAGTTTATTTTCATAAATGATTTTCTATTTCTATTCTTGCAAATATATTCATAATATACTTAGATACAAAACAACCAAAGCAATATAAACAATCATACTCATTTATACAAATGTTTGTACCGCGTGGAATCGAAACCACTACCATCGTATGTAAGGCGATGTCCTAAACCGCTACACCACTGAGACCGTCAGAATTAGTAGTAGTAATAAATTATATAAATAATCATAATCTAATACTAACATCGGAAAATTGATAGGTTCGTACGATATTTGTTAATTGGAGTGTCACGGTCTGGGTACAAGCGTACAGTGATCTGACTTCGTCGACCTTGGTCGTCACGCTCCATGCACATGGTCAACCTTTTGTGTGACTTCAAATTCCAGCAATTATCAAACCACCAAAACACGGTGACATACTATATCTTCATTTGTTTTAGAGTTTTAAAAAATATAAAAATTGCTACCACTTACTGATATTATAAACGTGAAAGTTTGTGAGTATGGATGGATGTTTGTTACACATTCACGCAAACACTACTGAACGGATTTTAATGAAACTTTACAGTAATATAGCTTAATGTTTATATTGTATTTTTTACATTGCACTGAATAAAATATTTTTCTTTCTTTCTTTCTAATGTTGTAGTTTTATTTTAATATTTATTTTATTTATTAACACTTCATTGCACCAGAAATACAAACAATTAAACAAAGAACAAACAAATAACAAGTAATAAGGTACAAAAGGCGGTCTTATTGCTTAAGCAATTTCTTCCAGACAACCTTTGGGTAGAGCAGAGAAGATAGAAAGTGGTAGATGGCGCAAGAATAGACTAGAGATATAAAAAAAGGCATAGGAATTCTAAATAATAATAATTTACATATACTACTTACATATATACATAATACAATTTATTTACTAATACATACATCATCATCATCATCTGCTTCATCCTTATCCCATTTATTTGGGGTCGGCGTAATATGTTTTTCGCTTCCATTCATCCCTGTTTGCAGTCATTGCGTCATTTACTTCCTTTCTTACCATATCATCTTTCACACAGTCCATCCATCTCTTTTTTGGCCTTCCTCTGCCCTTATAACCATCCACATTCATTTGTAATATCTTTCTTAAAATATTATCCTCGTTCCTACGCATTACATGTCCATACCATGATAGACGATTACTCTTCAACCTCTCTGACACCGGTGCCACTTTCATACTTCCTCTAATGTATTCATTCTTTATCTTATCCATTTACTAATACATACATATTATACATAAATACAAAATACATACTAGAAATACATAACTTTAATGGATAATTAGCGATAGATAGGATAGTCAAGAAATTGAAGTATAAACAAAATGTACTCTACATTTTGTTTATACTTCAATTTCTTGAACGGAACGGTAAATTTAAATACAAATTTAGAATAAAAAAAACTTTTGACATATTTAATTTCGAGTCGGAACTACTAGCTTTAGCCCGCGGCTTCGCTCGCTTTAATGTATCCCCTTAGGTGTGGAATTTATCAAAATCCTTTCTTAGGGGATGCTTACGTCATAGTAGCTTTATGCATGCAAAGTCTCAGTCCGATCGGTATAAAATTGACCAAGTTTCATATAAACTTTCATTCCCTTGGGGGTAGAATTAATCAAAATCCTTTCTTAGCGGGTGCCTACGTCATAATTTCTACCTGCATGCCAAATTTCAGCCCGATCCGTCCAGTGGTTTGGGCTGTGCGTAGATAGATCACTATGTCAGTCACCTTTGAGTTATATATATACATATATAGATTAACATCAATCCGGAACGGAGTTAAGATCAACTAGTACTTACATATAAACAATATACATACACATATATGTATAATTAACACAAAAACAAAAAAGTACGATCCAACGAAATTACGGCCGTAATTTTGCTGTCACAAAATTAGTCTTCACATTTGTGTAAACAACTGCCGAACAAACACTCGCTTTTACACTTAAAACACTATTATTATGATAATTTGCACTCAATAGCTAATTTATGGTATTGTCAATTTTACTTTACTTACTTACGTATTTGTGACGTACACTAGTATTTCAGTATTTATTAAAAATACGGCTGTACAGAACTCTTTACTTTCGGGCCGGTAGCCTGCACGACAAATCGTATTTTTAAATAGTTATAGTTTTCAATTCAATTCAATTCAAAATATCTTTATTCATGTAGGTCTATTACAGACTTATGATATGTCAAATCTACCGTCAGTTCGGAATGATTTCGAGATGAGAACCAAGAAACTCAGCTCGTATTCTTTTCAAATAAATGTTATACATGTTTACAATAATACAGATTCATTTTTAAATTCAATTTTGGGAGAATAGAGTGACCACCAGCATATGCTATTGCAAAAGCAAATAGTCTAATCAGTGTTCGTAACCTGAACAGACCAGTCCCCACAAGCAGCACCCGTTCACGAGTATTTTATACGAATATTATGCTTGCTGCTTGTTGCTATGGTTTTCTTACTATTTGTTCTCTATTTTTATAATATATATACATTATATACATACATATTGCGCGAATATAATAATAATAATAATAATAATATAATTGGAAAGCACACACCATCGTTGGCTGCACTGAACGACCCCATCGTCCTACACACAGTCCTACACAACAATCTAATCATGCTTGGCTAAGGCCCGCCTGTTTGCTAGATATATATATATATATATATATATATATATATATATATATAATTTATAAAATTATATATGTTTCTTTTTATATAGCTAATGTAAAATTTATAAAATTATATATGTAGCAAGTAAACAAATTTGTATATTAACAATAATAATAATATCTCAGGACAATTTGCACAGCGCCATCTAGTCCCAAACTAAGCAGAGCTTGTGTTATGTGTACTAGACAACTGATATAAATACTTAGATATTTTTTGTAAATACATACATAATATATATAGAAAACACCCAGACCGATCCTTTCATAGCCATGAATATACACGTTCCACCATGCGAGGAACCGAATCCTTGACTATGGGAAGTGAGGTGGTACTAAACCTCTAGACCACCTGACGATCTGTCAAGACACAGACGCACTGTCGTTCGCCATCTTGTGATATTTGAATAATAACCTATTTGCTGGAAGAAAGGTGATTCATTAAACTCCATTACTAGCAATGTACCATGTTATATTGACCTTCACGCAGTTCTCTCTGAATACCAATGTGACAAATGCCTAGTGAATTTAACGTTTGCCTCTTGAAACCATCGTGATAAATTACTGTGCATTTACCACGATGGGCTAACTGACTTTAAGCTCATCCTATCATCCTCCACTGGTGCCCCGCCAGCGTATACCGTTAGCGTAGGCCTGTGAATCATACCGTAACATAAATAATAACTTTCCTATTTAATCATCTATTACTTTAAACTATTTTTATTACAGACTAGCTGTACTCGCGACTTCGTCTGCGTGGAATTTAACTTTATTTTTCTAAAATAAAAGTAGCCTAAGTTACTCCTTATTACATCAGCTACTTGCCAAAAATGTTCCGTCAAAATCGGTTCAGCCATTTCAGAGATTAGCCGGAACGAACAGACAGACAGACAGACAAAAATTGTAAAAAATGTTAGTTTGGTGTATGTACCGTATTTATATTCATAGGCATGTAGTAAAATACGGTTATTTCCATATTACAAACAAACACTCCAATTTTATTTATATGTATAGATTATTATAGACTATCTATTAATTAAAACAATTATAGTTACAGATGGGCTGTGGTCGAATATTCGCGGCGCTCCGCCGCTGCAAACAATTAGAAGGGGATACCACATCACAGCTGGCCAGGTGTCTGGGACTAGTGGACCTGACGGCTCTCGGGGTCGGCAGCACCCTAGGCCTGGGAGTGTATGTGCTGGCTGGTGCTGTGGCTAAGACAGTGGCGGGACCAGCTGTCACATTAAGCTTCTTAGTGGCTGCTATTGCCTCCGCTTTTGCTGGTAAGAATTTTTTAATTTATCTAATTTTTTTTTTAATTTATTTTAGTTTAGTTATAATTACATGTAATATTATTGCATAGTATAAAACAAAGTCGCTGTCGCTGTCTCTCCTTCCCTATATTACAACGGAGCTATTATCAACATCACAAACATATGTACGTATGTGTATATAACAATACATCGAGGAGTTTTATATCGACTATCTTAATCATTATTACATAATATAAATCAAAGTCGCTGTCGCTGTCTGTCCTTTCCTATGCTATGCTTAAATCTTTAAAATTTCGACTAGGTTTTTTAAATAGATAGAGTGATTCTAGAGGAAGGTTTATATATATAATACATGTCCACCTGTGCGAAGCCGGGGTGAGTAGCTTATGTAGATAGACGACTACCAAAACATATTTATTACAATATCAATCTGAAATTGATTTTTTCTTTATTTATTTAAACAGTCGATCCAGTTAACTTGTAATAATGTAGATAGATGACGAGTGCCGTAACGTATTTACTACAATTACATATATTAATAAGAATGTTAATGTTGACATAATGAGCTAAGAAATTTAGAATAAGTTTTTTTAAACTCACTAGAAAAAAATTAATATAAATAATATAGGTACATAATTACATTATATATTACTAAGATTTTATTGTTAGTAATTAAAAATTCGAGAAATAAAGAAGAATTAACGAAGGTAAAGAAGAAGAAGATTATAAAAATCGTTTCATCCATCTATTTTACTCTCTTATGAACTTAATACATAGAGAAAAAAGCGATATATATTATTCAATCAGCAAGTAATATAAGCCGCAATTTATGATAAAAAAGAAAATTCTACAAATGTTAAAGCCATACAAAGCCGAGCCACATCACTAGGTTTGCTTTCCGTGCATTGCCTTCTGTATCCTCAAAAAAATGCATGCATAAATTGTTAAAAGTGTACACGAATAATTACATTAAAACAAACAAACTTTTGATTTTATAACAACACCTAATTAGGATTAGGATAAAGATTGTAAAATTGTCATAACAAAACAAGAATTGGCCTTAATTTTTTATTATATCCAACAATATGATAATAACTATAAATTTTATATTTTCCTGCAAAAATTTTAAGACAATTCATCACGAAAACTGCTTGTAATAAGATAAAAGTAAGCCTTATTAAATAACTGAATCACGTTCAAATATTTAACATTGTAACTATGAATAACAAGGCACGAGTTTTACATAAAAGTATACGTGAACTTAGTCCAGCGTGTTGCAGATGTTTTGTTGCCTGAACAAGCAACTTTTACTTTTTGCCTCGCACAACCACATTGTGGAATCACCTTCCAGCAATGGTATTTCCGAACCGATACGATATTGGAAAGAAAGAAGAAATGAGCTTATTCCTTTTTAAAGGGCCGACAACGTACTTGCAATTCCCCTGGTGTTGCGGGTGCTCTGGGTGGCGGTAATCACTTACCATCAGGTGAGCCGCATGCTCGTTTGTCTCGTGTTATAAAAAAAAAGCATATGGTATATCAGTGAGCATGTGAATAATAATAAAATACGTATTAATATTACTGATGATAATGATGTCATCCCGGACGATTTCGGCCACGGCGACTGTTTCCAATTCTGGTTTTGCCGGTGATGTGCTCGCATGTGATTATGCTGCTGTCTAATATAGTATATTATATATGTATATTAGTAATGTGGATTGATAACCCCATTGCTAGCAATGTACAATGTCAGGTTGACCTCCACGCGGTTCCCCCTGGAAACCATCGTGACAAATTCCTGGTGAGCTTGTCACGATGGGCTAACTGACCTGACCTCATGCTCATCTTATCATCTTCCACTGGTGCCCCCTCAGCGTAAACCGTTAGCGCAGGCGTGCCTGCGCTAATTATCATCAAAAAATTTATAATCCATAACCAATCGATTATCATAAAAAAAAAATATGGTTCAGTGTGCTGACCCGTAGTAAAACTACCTTTTACCATCACACCGCTCGCTATCGACAGGGAATTCATCCTTGCACACTGGAACCTAAGCAATCTCAGACAGTGCAGTTTCAGAGGAACTTCCTCCCGCGTACACTTAGATTGTGGCTACTACTAACTTATTGCCGAGGTTTTCTCACGAGACAAGAAGGGTTTCAGGGTTTCTTAAGAGTCGGCAAGGTGCACGTTACACCCTTGGTGTCTTTAGGCCTTGCGCAACGTTAACCATTTGCCATCAGATGGGCCGTATGTGTATTTCCCACCGTAATAGTATAAAATAAATCTAATACACACAAGAATAGAGTCATTTTGATTCTGTTTATTTTTTTTATTTTTAGTAATCATCTGTAATATATGTAGTATGTATATGCGTTTTGTAATATGCGTAAGTTTCTTACTTGTTCTTCTTGTAATCAGACAGTTTTCTAAATGAATGGTAGTTAAATTAATATTTTTCTTTCTTACTTCTTCTTTAAAAAAAATAAGTATGACTGTTCACAAATTCTGTTCACACACAACAACACTTAAATTTATGTTTATTTGAATAAAGAATTGTTATTCTATTATATTTAACAAATATTTTTCTATATTTCTTTTTTCTTGTTTCAGGTCTGTGTTACGCAGAATTTGCATCGCGAGTACCCAAAGCCGGTTCAGCTTACGTCTACAGCTACGTCAGTGTTGGAGAGTTCATAGCGTTCACAATCGGTTGGAACCTGATCCTGGAGTACGTCATCGGAACGGCCAGTGTTGCTAAAGGCATGGCCAATTATATAGACAGCCTATGCAATAACACCATGGCAAAAACCATGACTGAAATCGCGCCTATCAATGTCAGCTTCCTTGCCGATTATCCTGACTTCTTTGCATTTGCTTTGGTACTGCTTATTACTGGTAAGTTTTTAATTACAATTTATAAATCTTTATCATTACATATTATAAAACAAAGTCGCTGTCACTGTCTGTCCGTCCCTATGTATGCTTAAATCTTTAAGTACACAACGGATTTTGAAGCAGTTTTTTTAATAGTCACTCTAATCACTCTGATTCATGGGGAAAGTTTATATGTATAATACATGTACATCCGTGCGTAGCCAGGATGGGTAACTAGTAATATTATAAACGCGAAAATTTGTGAGTATGGATTTTACTGTAATATAGTATTTCATCATCATCATCATCGCAGCCCGGAAGACGTCCACTGCTGGACATAGGCCTCCCCCAAAGATCTCCACGACGATCGGTCCTGCGCTGCTCGCATCCAATGCCTTCCCGCGATCTTGACCAGATCGTCGGTCCACCTTGCTGGAGGCCTTCCCACGCTGCGTCTTCCGGTCCGTGGTCGCCACTCGAGGACTTTACTGCCCCAACGGCCATCTGTCCTACGAGCTATGTGCTATAGTAGCTATGTAATATAGTATTTACGGTATACGATTTAGTTGATTAACCATTTTCAGGAGAGATTGCGTCATAGTCATGCCACTAGCATCTTTACTAAGTATTTAGACTATTTGCCATAATTGCCAATAGTGGCATACAATAGATGGTTTAATGTTTATACAGTTATTCCCTAATGGGACAATAAACATTTGTATTCCAGGTCTACTCGCCTTCGGTGTGAAGGAGTCCACAAAACTGAACAACGTGTTCACAGCACTGAACATGATCACTGTCATTGTGGTGGTCATCGCTGGAGCTGTCAAAAGTAACCACTTTATATTTAATACTATCTGAACCCGCGACTTCGTCTGCGTGGAATTATACTTTATTTCTTTTAAATAAATTAATGTTTCCAAAATAAAAGTAGCCTAAGTTACTCCATATTACATCAGCTACCTGCCAAAAAAAGTCCCGTTAAAATAGGTTCAGCCGTTTCAGAGATTAGCCGGAACAAACAGAACGACAGACAGACAGACAAAAATTTCAAAAAGTGTTATTTTGATGTATGTAACGTATTTATATTCATATGCATGCAGTAAAAAACGGTTATTTCAATGTTACAAACAGACACTGCAATTTTATTTATATGTATAGATTATCTATATGCTCTTGGAAACCCAAAGATTTATTATTTATTTAGTTTCTAATACGGCAAAATTTTTGGTCTCTTTTTGCTCTCTCTAATAAACTTACCATGTTTTCATCTTTCGCGACAATTATTTAGACTTCATTTGAAAGTCTTCTTCAGGCTACATGCGAACAACAAAGATTCGAAGACTTCTTAGAAAATAGCGTTCATTATAAGAAAATAATTTATTACCCAGTAGCTTTACTGACGACAGTATTGTAGAGTTTGATACATGTCTAAGTGCCTAACGTGTAGTCCTATAGCTGGACCCAGTTTCTCCCTATAAGAGAAAGATCATCACTTCAGATCCCAAATATTCTATGAAGATATTAGTGAAGAAACTTTACTAGCGTTACGACAGTCTTTAATGGTGATTGAAATTCCGACCGTTATTGAATCTACACCCGTATAGCTGCAAAAAATTTGTAATCTCCCACTTGCTAATTGTAGCGAAAATAATACAAATCCATTAAGTAGTGAAATGGACTTCTGCAAAATAACACCTAATTCGAGTAAATATATAGAAAGATCATCATCCGAGTTACTCGATAAACTTTTACACAACCGTTGGATAGCTATTATATTGAGGTAGCAAAAAAACATTTGTGAAATCAGAGCTATCGCTCTCTCATCTATAGCGTACTCTAAATACGCATCCAGTAAATTGACTATGTACCATAATTTGCGTCATACCGGAATGCAATTCAATCAATCTAGAAATTTAATCAGAAAGGTTCGCATGCCGAGAATTTTGTAAATAAAATCAACCGCTATATCTTAAACAATTCATCCCCAGGTAATCCAGATAACTGGAGGATCAAACTAGAGGACATTCCACCGGAATATAAGGATAAAGCGGGAGAAGGTGGTTTCATGCCTTGGGGAGTTGCCGGCGTGATGGCTGGTGCTGCCAAGTGCTTCTTCGGCTTCGTGGGCTTCGATTGCGTGGCTACAACCGGGGAAGAAGCAAAGAACCCTAAAAGGGACATCCCACTCTCTATCGTGATGTCGTTGGTCATAATTTTCGTGTCTTACTTCAGCATCGCTACAGTACTGACAATGATGTGGCCATATTACCTACAGGTCAGTTTAAAAGAGTGGATTATATAAACTTATTAATATTATAAACGCGAATTTTTGTGAGTATGGATGGATGTTTATTACTCTTTAACGCAAAAACTACTGAACTATAGCTCAATCAAAAATCTCAGAATAACACATAGACTATAATTTAAAAATATATTATGTAAATTGGGCGAAATCTAAATATATAAAACTCAAAGGTGACTGACATAGTGATCTATCTACGCATAGCCCAAACCACTGGACGGATCGGGCTGAAATTTGGCATGCAGGTAGATGTTATGACGTAGGCATCCGCTAAGAACAGGATTTTGATTAATTCTAGCCCCAAGGGGATAAAATAGGGGATGAAAGTTTGTATGAAACTTTGTCAATTTTAAACCGATCGGGCTGAGGCTTTGCATGCATAAAGCTACTATTACGTAGGCATCCCCTAAAAACCGATTTTGATAAATTCCACCCCTAAGAAGATAAATTAACGCGAGCGAAGCCGCGGGCAAAAGCTAGTGTTGATAATTATGAAATGATTAGATGCTTATGTACTTGTTTAATTATTTATTTTAACAAAAAGACGACATCTTTTATTGTCTTAACAAAAACCGGAAGTGGGTCAAGGTGAAAGAATCATAGATAATAAAAATATAACAGAGAACACAAAAGTTGTACAGAGTAAGTTACTTTAAATATAGAGATTAATATATTCTAACACTTCCACCAAATTAGATCTTTCCTCCCTCCCGTAAAGAACATACTAATTTAAGTAACAATCAACTTTCAGTAACAATAAAAACTTATACCTATAATTACCATTACTTAACAATTATCTAAATATTCATAGTTTTAACTGCAATAGATAGATAGTTATATTATATTGTTAGAAACAAAAACAGTCCAATTAATGAGAAATTAATTAAGTATATTCAGTTAGTTTTGACATCCCTATTTTAGATCTCATGAGTTTAAACTTTTCTTTAGGCAAAGCTTTTGTAAAAATATCAGCATACTGATTATTGCTACTAACATAATTCAGACTGATGATATTTTCATAATATTTTTCTTTCATAAAATTATACTTAATGTCTATATGCTTACATCTCTTATGGAAATCACTATTTTTAATAACGTTTATTGCACTTTGATTGTCAATATTGATACACACAGAACTTTGATTATATTCACTAATATCACTTAATAACTGTTTTAACCATATCGCTTCCTTTGTGGCTGCACAGGCAGCCATGAATTCAGCTTCAGTTGTGGACAATGCCACAGATTGTTGACGTTGGGTGCACCATGTGACTGCAGCACCATTTTTAAGAAATACATATCCTGTTACTGATCTTCTAGTGTCAGTATCATTTGCAAAATCAGCATCACTGTATCCACATAGATCAGCACTATCTGGATTAGACACATAGCATAGACCAAAGTCTTTTGTTTCTTTCAAATATTTTAATATTCTCTTCACAGCCTTGCAGTGAGATTCATTATAAGAATGTAGGAATCGACTCACCTGACTTACTGCAAACATAATGTCAGGTCTGCTTACAGTTGCAGCATGGATGAGTGATCCGACTACTTCTCTGTAGGGATACTTGCTCTCTAGTGAGCCATCACTTTTCTCCAGTTTGACATTGGGATCAGCGGGAACACTGTTGATATTTGCATCAGTCATATTAAATTTTGTCAACAATTGTTCAATGTATTTGGTTTGATGTATAAAAATACTGTTTTTGATTCTTTCTATTTGCATTCCTACAAAATTGCTAAGTGATGATATTTTTAAACTAAAATTCATTTGAAGATCATTTAATACATCCATCATGACATCTTTGTCTTTGCACAACAGGAGTCCATCATCAACATACAGACAAAGATAACATTTAATATTATTAATTTGTCCAATGTAAACACACTGATCAGCTTTGCTTTTTACAAAACCAAATTTATTAAGGACTGAATTAAATTTTGAATTCCAGCACCTAGGTGCTTGTTTTAATCCATATAAAGATTTAATTAATTTACATACCATGTTTGGTTTACAGTCCAATCCTTCAGGTGGTGTCATGTAGATATCTTCCTTCAGTTCACCATATAAGAAAGCAGTGGTTATGTCAAATTGAGTAATTTCCAAGTTTTGTTGAGCTGCTAGTGACAACAGTAACCGAATTGAATCATACCTTACAGTAGGTGAAAAAGTTTCGTCATAATCAATACCTGCCTTTTGTGAATATCCTTTTGCACAAAGCCGAGACTTATAGCGAGGTCCAGTTGATTCATCTTTGATGCGGAACACCCACTTACATCCAATTACTTTGATATTTGGTTGCTTTTCTACCATTATCCATGTACCATTTTGATGGTGAGATTTTAGCTCACTTTCTATGGACTTTTTCCAGTATTCTGAATCAGTTGAGGCAAGTGCCTCCTTGTAGCTCATGGGAATAGAATTTGATTCATTTTCACTGCAGCAAAGATAGCCTTTTTCTTCTAATTGTTTTGATTCAGAGAATATCTCTTTATTTCTTGGTCTGAGCGTTATATTGGACTGTGGTAGTGACTCAATGTTCATTCTTGGTAAGTAATCACTCTCACTCTCTGTAGTATTATCAGTATCTGAGTAATATTCAGTTGCAGTCCTTGTGGAGTTCAATGTATTATCAGAGCTTTCTGATGCGTGGACATCATTTGATTCAGGTGAGTCACACATTGTATCTGCTAAATCCACTGGAACATAATTTCTTTTCACACTTGATTCTATGAAAACAGCATCTCTGCTTTTGATCACACTTCTAGAGTTTGCTAATACAAATCTGTAACCTTTACTGTTGTCACAATATCCAATAAATATTGTTTTCTGTGCTTTGGCATCCCATTTCCTTCTTTTCTCTTTTGGAAGATGAACCATCGCATCACAGCCAAATGTTCTTAAATGACCAAGCTTCGGTTTACGCCCTGTCCACATCTCTTCAGGAGTTTTATAGGAGAGAGATCTTGTGGGCGTTCTATTATTAAGGTAAGCAGCAGTATGTACTGCTTCTGCCCAATATAATTTAGGTAGGTGTGCATTAATTAGCATACACTTTGCTTTTTCTACTAATGTGCGATTCATACGCTCAGCAACTCCATTTTGTTCGGGTGTGTAAGGCGTGGTTGTTTGATGTACAATACCAGCATGTTTTAAAAATTCAGTGAAATTATGGTTTACATATTCAAGTCCATTGTCAGAGCGTAGACATTTAATTTTACATTCCAATTGATTCTCTACTTCAGATTTAAATTGTTTAAATTTTTCTAATGCTTCAGACTTCTTATTCATGAAATAAATAAACACTTTCTTTGAATAGTCATCTATAAATGTAATGAAATATCTTGCATTTCCTAGTGACATTGTCTCCATTGGACCACAGATATCTGAGTGCACTAGTTCAAGCACTTTACTTGCCCTTGTTCCTTTGTAATGCAAGGGTAGACGTGTTTGTTTGCCTTGCAGACATGTTATACATATTAATTTGTCATTATTTTTCATTAGTGGTACTTCTTCAGCATTTTCAGTGACCCTTTCAAGGTCTTGATAATTTAGATGACCCATTCGTTGATGCCAAAGGTAAAAATCATGTGTATCAACATCGGATATGTATGCCTTTTCACTGTGCACATTTAGCTTGTACATATTGTTGATTAAACTTGCTGTTGCAACTATTTCACTTCTTCTATTTAATATTGCACAGCCCTTATCATTGAATTTTACTTGTCCACCATTATTAATGATCTGACTCACAGACAGTAGATTTGTGGCAAGCTCAGGTACATATAGCACATTTTGAAATAAAATTTTATTAATTTGGTCTTTTCCATTCCTTGTATCTAGACTTAATTGGCCACAACTTTTTACTGCCAAACACTTGTCATTTGCTACTTTGATTGTCTTTATGAGTGGCACTATTTCATTTTGTAATAAGTTATTGTGCTTAGTCATATGCATTGATGCACCAAAATCTATATACCAGGCATCGCTACAACTTGTTGAAGTCATAAATGCAGCGGCATAACTTGAACTTTCTTGGTGAGTAACTTTATTCTTCTTTTTTTGTTTTAATTTACACTCTGTGCTTATGTGGCCATACCTATTACAATTATAGCACCGTGGCCCTTTAGAGAAGTCTTTCTTATATACTTTTTTCTTATAACCGACAGCAAACGCTGAATTGTCACCATCACACATTTTAATATCTTGAAGGATTTTAGCTTTAACAGAGTCAGAACTAATTTTCATTCCTGAGCTTTCAATAGCAATGATCATTGGTTTGTATGACTCAGGTAGACCAGAGAGCAGCAGTGTACCGAGCCACTCATCGTCTACTTTAAACCCAATGTTACGTAGTTTGTGTGCTGTGGTCATTATTCTACTGACATATTCTTCAACATTTTGACATCCAGTTAGTGTCGTTGTACATAAGTCCCTGAGTAAACCCACTCGGCGTGTTAGCCCTGAATCATCGAATGCATTTGCCAAGTTGTTCCAAACTTCTTTGGCAGTCTTGGCTTCTTGAATGTGAACATAATTAACTGAGTCCACCAGTAAGATTATTTTCGATTTGGCCTTTAAATCACGTTTTAAATCAATACAGTTTTCATCAATTACGCAGTCCCACAGTTCCTCGTGTTCGAGATATGTCTGTACTGCAAATCTCCAAGTTGCATAATTGTCACGGCCGGTCAGCTTCTCGATTAATGCCAATGGATTGTTGGAAGTCATTTTCCGGAATAATTTATAACAACACTGGTTATTTTTCAGTTAATGTACATTTGTTACAGACGAACACGTGTATGTGTAGGTTATACTTGAAGGCAAAATTAAGAGTTTTTCTACTTTTCACTTTTAAAAAAACACAGATCAGGACTAGAACTGGGCCAATAACCTTGTTGATAATTATGAAATGATTCGATGCTTATGTACTTGTATAATAATTTATTTTAACAAAAAGACGACATCTTTTATTGTCTTAACAAAAACCGGAAGTGGGTCAAGGTGAAAGAATCATAGATAATAAAAATATAACAGAGAACACAAAAGTTGTACAGAGTAAGTTACTTTAAATATAGAGATTAATATATTCTAACAGCTAGTATAATGATAAATGTCAAATAAGTGTGATGCAGACGAAGTTGAGCGAGTCAGCTAGTGTAAAATTATAATAGTATAAAAATGCATGAAGTTTATCCCGTCCCGTTATCACTGGCATAGAAAACGTATTGTGATAGAAAAAATAATAAAAAAAGCACCCCCCAAAGAATACCCCCAAAGAATAGCAAGGCAAAGCGATGTTGACTATCGAACGAATTCCTGAATGAAGAATGATAAAATTACAGAATTGAGCCCTACACAACAATATTGTACGTGCAAACCTAAAGTAATTGGCAATTGATGAGAATAAAGTATTTATCTAACTATCAATTGAATAACATCCTACGACTGGGTAAAAATTATCCACTTTGTGGTACCTTCTGTTTTATGGAGATTTATAGTTTGTTTCTAATAGAGACTCAAATCAAACACACCTTCAATTATGACAGAAGAGAAGTGTGTTCAAAATCTCCTAAATATTAAGAAATAAACAAATAATAAACTCTGGACATTTAACACAGCGCCATCTAGTCCCATGCTAATCAGAGTTGGTATGGGTACTAGACAACTGAATAAATATATAGATTTATATTTTTTGTAAACACATACATAATATATATAGAAAACACTCAGACCGATACAAACAATTATACTTATGAGTACAAATGTTTGCACCGTGCGAGGAATGGATCCTGTAACCGCAGGAAGTAAAATGGTGAGCTAACCCGCTAGACCACCGAAGCCGTCAAAATCTCTTAAATATAATAGAGTTGATAGTTTTACCCTACAATAAGAGCCATCACCTCATTGATCATGCAATGCATGACTTCGATTCTTTCTTTTACTCATTTGATGTTTTGTGCTTTGTTCCTAAATTACACTAAAGAAAAATTTTGGATAGAAAGTCAGTAAATAGTATTAGACTCTCTACCAAGTAGACTTCACATCAAGCGAAAATAGTATCTATGTCTCCAATTTTTGTTAAGTTAATGTCAAAAGAAACTGAAAGTAATTAGATGCTTATGTATGCTTCGTTTTTTACCTAGTACATTACGCTGTTACTTTAAACCTAACCAAAGTCACGTAAAGAAAATAAAATAAAATTATTTCAATTGACTTCTACTTTATTTCCAGGATGCGGACGCACCTTTCCCACACGTCTTCACAGAAACCGGTCTGCCAGTCATCAAGTGGATAGTGACAGTTGGTGCGATTTTCGCGCTGTGTACCAGCCTCCTGGGCGCCATGTTTCCATTACCTCGGGTGTTGTACGCAATGGGCACTGATGGAGTTCTCTTCAGACCTTTATCAGCTATCAATGGTTGGACTAAGACTCCCGTGCTTGCGACTATTCTTAGTGGCTTGTTATCAGGTACGTGCTTTAACAAAAGCTGAATCAAATCTAAATATCTTTATTCATGTAGGTCTATTACAGGCTCTTGTGATATATCAAATCTATCGTCAGTTCAGATTACTTTCATAGTTCGAGTTTGACGTATCAGATATATGTCCAGATCTGATGCAACTTGTCATCTAAACGGATTTCAGGAATTTCAGTTACTCTTTTAGTTCTAATTATAAAGGTTCTGTAGGATATATCAATATTGAAAACAAACTATGTAATTGGACTATTGAATCGATTGTAAAATGTACGTATTTTCTATTCTCTCTTATTTTCTAGCCTCTTCGTCATAGCCGTAGCTAATCTTCGGGTTAACTCACTTATTAGTAGCAATAATTCCCAAAATAAATAAGACTGATTTTCTAAATGTAAAAAGGTAAATATTTCATGACGCTATCTGTCCTACTAATACCTAATTTTCTTTTCAGCATTAATGGCGGCGATCTTCAACTTGAACCAGTTAATCGACATGATGTCTATTGGAACTCTTTTGGCGTACACTATAGTTGCTACCAGCGTGCTTATACTTAGGTAAGCATTATTGGCACATTTTAAATTATATTGTAGTATTAAATTAAATCTCAACTCTATGTTCTTCTCTCAACTGTACATTGTGCTGACACATTTTAATGGCTTTCTATTCGATGGACATACTTCCTCAAAAATTTTATATGAAATGTGTATTACATATCCAATAAAAATTTGGAATCCACTTAGGTAGGTAGGTAAAGAATACAAGAAGTATGTAAAGATAGATATTGTAGGCTACAAAATCTATCTTTACATACTAAACTGAAGTCGCTTCTGTCTTGCTTCTTAGATCTTTTGAACTACGCAACAAATTTTAATGCAGTTTTTAGCAATAGATAGAGCTATTCAAGAGGAAGGTTTATATGTATAATACATTTACTTACACCCGTGCTAAGCTGGGGCTGGTAGCTAGTAGTAGTAGTAAATAAAAAATATGATAATAGCTAGTAATTAATAAGTAAACAATAACAGTCGACTAATTGCTGACTATCGCATCTGTGATTGCATTCGTGAACATATATTTTCTTAATAAGGTACGAGGATACAGATGAAGTAGCGAGCCATCTGCAGCGGTCAACCAAGCCTGTCCCGGAGACACCGTACACGGTTGCGCGGCAGACATTCAACCTGCTGGGTCTGAAGACACCTACCAATTTGTCAGCCATAATTGCCAAAAGCACTATCTTCATATTTTGTAAGTATTCTATTTTGTGATATTTAAAGTGAGTTTTATCAATGTAGCTTTATTATAGTCCTTTGCGTGGGTTCTTTTATATTGACTAATTCTGCAGAATCGTGCTTTGCGAGTTCTTGTGTGGCAGGGAGAGAAACTCCAACTAGTGCCTGAGACTTTTGAGTGTAGTCTTTAAAGGGCTCATTTCAATGCATTAACTTTTACCTTCATTAACCTTCACTTCTGGTGCCATTCTCCTTGACCCACTAAATCTGGCATGAATCCGCCGATGACTCCAATATTTACAATTATATTTTCTCTTATTTATATTTGATAATCATCAATCCAACTTTTAACTACTACGTTAGTTCAATGTCAATCCTATCTATCTATCTATCAATCTTTTTTTATTTATTATGAATTACGTCTCTGGATACAAGTCTTTTTGAGCCCAACCTTAACAAGTACACCTGGAATGTACTTTTCAGTACTGTAATAGAAATAGAAATAGAAATAATCTTTATTCAAATAAACTCATTACAAGCACTTTTGAATAGTCATATTTTGATTCTACCACTCATTCGGAATGCAGATTCATCACAAGAAGAATGAGCAAGAAACTTGTGTGTTGCTCTTTTTAATAGATGTTTTTTTTATATAAATAATTACAGTGTAACAAGTAAGAGGCATGCGACAATCAACATAGAAATCGCTACGCACTCATTATTAGTGTAATCAGATAATATTGTCAGTGCTATGTATTTAAAATTTTTCTACAAAAACATTATTATCGTTAACGAATTCTTCAATTTTATAGTAAGCTTTTTTGCAAAGGAAGTGTTTTATTTGACATTTAAATCTTTTTTCTGGCAGATTTATAACAGACTCTGGTATTTTATTGTAAAACCTTACGCAATTGCCATAAAACGAATTACTAACTTTAGCCAAACGACATTTAGGTACCGTTCTTATATTTAATTACCAGTATTAATTGATGATGACGGTGATTGCAGTCTTGGTAGCGCTGGTGACGTGTGTGGTGGCGCAGTGGGGAGGCGCGGGCGGGAACGTAGTGCTGGGAGTGCTGGGGGCCATGCTGCTCGTGCTGCTGGCCGTGCTGTACCGGCAGCCCAGGCACAGCGTGCGACATCTCAGCTTCACAGTCAGTACAAACTCCACTCGCGACGATGTCTACTCCCGAGTCTGATCTCAGTATCGACGTTGAAGAAAATTAAGATTGATGCTTCACACAATAACCTCAGTGATCTAGCGGTTTAACACACCAACTTACTTCTGATAGTAGTCGGTACGATTCCTTGCATCATGCGGAAACATTCTTCGATTCTTCGCGCGGCACAAACATTTGTATTCATGAGTATGATTGTTTATATCGGTGTGGGTGTTTGCTATGTATAAAATGTATGTATTTACGAGAAATGTAATCTATGTATTTGTATCAGTCATCTGGTACTCAAAACACAAAGCTAGCTTAACGTGGGTGTGTGTGATACATGACACATAGCGCTGTGTGAATTGTCCTCAGATGATTATTATTCATTGCATAAAATCTCTATTTACAAAATATACCGTCTTATTCATAAAATACATGTGTTTTATGTGTAATTTTAGCGCATTTGACCACAATGTTTGCAGATTTAATTATATTGTTTTGTTATCCGCAGGTTCCTCTAGTGCCATTAATCCCGTACCTAAGCGTGTGTATGAACGTCTACCTGATGGTCCAACTCGACTCACAGACGTGGATCCGGTTCATCATATGGCTGGCGATAGGTAAGATTCCAAATGTATATATTTTTTACGTACGTTATTAGAATGACAAACAAGCTGGCGGCCCATCTGATAACGGAAACCGTCACCAATATAAACAACGCTACAGACATACAGAACGTTAAGATATCATGTATCTTATCCAGCGTCCTCGGTTGTCTAGCGGTTTACTTCCGATAGTCGCGGGTTCGATTCCTCGCAAGGTGCAAAGGATTGTTTGCAATTGAGTGTTTTCTATATTATAATACGCATTTACAAAAAAAAGTGTATTTAAGTATATATATCACTTGTTTAGTGCCCTTATTACAAGTTCTGCTTAGCTTGGGACTAGGTGGCGCTGTGCGAATTATTCAGAATTACCTATTATTCTGTAATTTCACTGCCTAATCTCACTCTATAACCGAAACAGATTACAAAGCAAAGCTGCTTATTAACTGAAATAAATAAAGTAAGACTGGTATACCCACGCAAATGGAAAATTCTTTTTACATTCTACCTCTAGAGTTACAAGAATACGGTGGATACAAGAGAAGTTAGCTGGCCCAAAAAGTTTTTATTACCTAATATTATAACAATTACTTTCGAGACCTTAGCAAAGAGTTTTTAACCAATATAATAATCTTTACAAATTTTCCTGCAGGTTACCTCATATACTTTATATATGGAATTAGAAACAGTTCATTGAACGAGAAAAAAATACCAATAGCACACAGTAATGGCAAGACAGAAGACAAGCATGACATGACCACGAAGTTTTGATCGTCCAATCAAATCAAATTAGGATCTAAGCTATGTATATATTAATATAGTAATTTGTGAAGGTACACTCCTAATTATATAATTTATTCATCCATAGTTTTACTTTTTAATATATTGGACAGTTTTTTTATTACAATTTATTACGGCACTGGCTACTTGTACTTGTGCCGGTTTTAGTTAAATGACGTGAATTGTTGCCAATCAAAAATAGATTTACAGCGCCGTTTTTACAGGGATCTAAATCACAGGTTTTTTTAAATAGAAAAACAATTATGTAATAAAATTAACATTGGAATTATTTGTGCGTTTAGTGGTTATAGTAATATAAAAATGTAGTAGTGTAGTATACACATTTTTTACATGAGTGAGAATATTTTTTTTAATTATATAAGTACCTATACTAATTAATAATCTTTCAATTTGTTTATTTACCATATGATATAATAACATTAAAAGTCTCTGTCAAATAAACTTTACAATTTCAGGTAGGTGAATTTCAATACTGAAACAATATATGTAGCTATGACCTTTAAAAAATATTACTATGACCATGGTGTGATATCCAATAAATTATTGATAAAAATTGCATGAAATAATTTAAATTACTACTTAACAATTGTAATTATGAACGTTTCTTCAGAAGACGTATTGTTATTCAGACTAAAATTTAAATTGTACTTATAATTACCACAAATTATGCAGGGATAACTTTTAAACATCTTTATGTTTATTATAGAATCGTGATATTATGTATTTTTTATGATAAGTGACTTCACTTTTTAAATCTATGAACGTAATCTGTATATTTTGACAGCTGTCACAAAATGGCGGACTGAAACCGTTCCTCGGCTTAATTATGTTATTATTAACAATTGGATAATGTAATGTATTAAAATTGATGGGTTTGCATAAAACATTTGAGAGTTGCAGCTAAGTTGTTGCTGTTTCTGCTGCAGAATTGTAAATTTTAGTCCGTTATTTAGAAGAATTGCTGAATAATATCTTTACATAAAAAAGACTCTGCTTATATTCTGATTACTAGGATTTTTTTTTAATCCTTACGTCATTTGTAAATGGATACTTACATGATGGAACAGAATGTTTAAAACAATAAATATATCCATAGGTGACAAATATAAATGTTTTGTACATAATAATTTAATGTGATACAACTACAAATATTAAATTATTATATTGTATTATATATTAGTTAATAATTACTAATTTAAGAAGACAATTTCAACTTAACATTATTAGGAGGTGATTACGTTATACAATATATATTTTTTATGTTTTTGATGCATTTTTAAATCAAAAGTTTCGGTTATAACATTAATGACAGTTTACTAAAAAAGTATTAATGTAAACGATCGTACTTATATGATTCAAGAAATTAAATTGAATAGATAGAAAAACTAATAGAATATGATCGAATTTGATAACGTTATAACCCTCTTATAGAATGATACCACTTTAGTGTAATTTTGTATTATAATAAGAATATTTGCGAATAAAATTAATATTGTATATTTAAATAGAACTAGTTACGGGCTATTTCAAATGTCTTTTGTTTGTAATACTGTAAAAAACTTAAAATATAAGGGTGCAGTGTTCTTGATACATGAGTGGATAGTTATCTCTAAATGCACGACTCGATCGAGGTTTGAATAAACCCTGACATTATGACGTTGATTTTTGATTTGCCATAATTTAATGTTCTAAAATATTTTCTTACTATATTATATTTTAAATTATGTAATAACATTCATGAAAGGTTACTTACTGTAAATTTATATTTGTGTAGTCTGTGGTATCTTAAATTTGATAGCTACGTCCTGCCCTAAACGGAGATGCACCGAAAATCTACCTGAACGTCAAGTAAATTGGCTCTGATTTCGCTACACACGAGCCCAGGCATTTTCATGCGCTCCTATATCCTCCTCCTATATCCCCTGATTTTGTGCCGTATGAAGCCGTTATAGGGTAATCTCCACCACACTGCTCCAATGTTATCCTTGATTTTAGTGTCGTGTGTTCTAACCGCATTCAGGCAACTTGAAAATCTGATCTTAGTACTGTACATCAGCAATATTAATCACGCCCAAACCGTGTATAGACTATTGACTTTTGGGACGCCTTGTGTTCTAAAAAAATCTTATAATACAGTAAGAAAAATATAGTTAATTTGTGTTAAAATTAAACTAGTCTAAGAACATAACAGTTAAAATATGTTTTGTAGAAGTTAAAAATATTTAAATAAGAATACATGCATACAGAAAACAATATAAAATACTGACAGCTCAATGGTCCAGATAGCTTACGGACTTACTATCGATCTTCGCGGGTTCAATTCTCACAAGATACAAACATTTGTATTTATAAATATGGTTGTATCTGAGTATTTTGTATGTATATATTATATATGTATTATATAAAAAAAATGTAATACATTATTTGGGTGTATAATATTAATCTTTGAGTAGTTTTATTTTATTTTATATTTGAATGTGAGACAATTAGTTTGTGATTTTATAACTTATAAGAGTATATCTCGCAACGCTTGCATTATTTATCAATTTCCATTTTCAATTGTGCAGAGTTATTATTATTATTGCTAATTTATTTTCTATTTACTAGAACGATAATGCAGTAAGTGTTTCTTGAAGCTACCACTGAATCTTTGAATTTTATGGGTAAAATTAATATAAAAACAAACTATAAATTAGTTATGATTGTTTTAATAATGATGTTTAAGAAATGTACTGTAACAATATTTCTATATTCAATTCAAACGTGGATCGAATTACGACGGCCTGAGCCGAGGTTCGAACACTAAACGGTACCCATAGACTAGTCGTATCCGTCAGGCCTAGAGCCGTAGAGCCTTCAGCCGCTCCATAAGTTATCCCACGGGTTTGCAGTCCCATCTGCAGTCGCCCCTTATCGTCCGGTGAAGCTGTAAAGGCCAGCTGCGGCCAACAGCCTTAGAATAGTCCCAATAATATAGTATAACTTTTAAGTAATCATTTGGATATATAGATTTGTTTTTATTAACGAATAATGCAAACGTTGTGAGATTACGAAAATTAATTTTCTTATTTTTAATTATTTAGATAGGGATTAGTTTTAATATTAACAAACTGTGATTCAACGGAGCTGTTCGTTATTTTGTGAAATTATGAGTAATAAATAATTTTATAACTTTGAATCGTTCTTTATTTTAATATTTATAAACAATACGGATTTCATGCAACTTCTTAAGTGGACATGGCTTCAGTGGTATGGCAAGTATTAGTTTGTATCGCTGTGGATATTTTTCTAAATATATGTTGAATCGCAAATATTTTTTGTGTGTCAATTTATATTTCATACTAGCTGTACTCCCGACTTCGTCCGCGTGGAATTTAAGGGGGTCTTCCTGAAGACGTCCGCGCCGCGATATTCAGACAGCCCAAAAACCTCGAAATGAAACACCACATACGAGGGAAAGAGTATAATGATATCAAAAAATGGTGTTACAAAATACTGAATAATAAAATTTTACAATTGTGTATATCAATCGATGAAAACGAAATAATATCGAGTTTCAGAAATCTAACAGCGCCATCTAGTATTCATTTCGGAACTAAATTACGTAAACAACATTTGCATTCTACAGATAATCATTGTGAAATATATAACCTATTTGCTACATTATTTTTATACTAACAATACTATTTAATTATACAGATACTACATTTATAATCAATACATACTAGATATAGTGGCGCCCTCAACATTCCGCCCACCAAGAACATGCTGTTCTTCCAACAACCGCCCACCGTGCAATGTATATCTAAATTTAAATGAATATCTTTATGAAACATAAGGGTCTATTGGAAGGCGACATATCTTGATGAGTGGACGCTTAATTACAGAATTTCTACATCTTAAACTAACAACACGAATCAAACCGTCGTCTCCTGGATGTACATCAATGATTCTGGCAAGGGACCACTTCCCGGGTGGTAAATTTTCGTCTTTTACAATAACGAGATCTCCTATTTTAATATCGTTATTGTGTCTTTTTGTCCATTTCGGTCTCTGTTGAAGTCTGCTCAAATATTCGCGAGTCCATCTGTCCCAAAAATGTTGTACCATTCTCTGTACTAACTGCCAACGATTTAAACGGTTTATATTATCTGTGATGTACGATCTTTCCGGAACTATAATAGGTGGTACTCCTATCAAAAAATGACCAGGTGTTAGAGGTTGTAAATCATTAATATCATCACTAATTGGCGAAATGGGTCGAGAATTTAAGCAGGCTTCAACTTGAGCCGTAACCGTAGCCATCTCCTCATAAGTTAATGTGGTATTGCCCAGAATCCTCTTCAGGTGAAATTTAATCGAGCGCACGCTTGCTTCCCATATGCCTCCGAAATGGGGCGCATTTGGTGGGATGTTATGCCATTCAGTGCCATCTCTAGCAAGCATGTCTAAAATTTCTCCATTAACAGTGCGCAATTGTTCTTTTAACAGGGCTCGTAACTCCTTGTTACCAGCGATAAAGTTAGTGGCATTGTCGCTCCACATGTGACGGCAGTGTCCTCGTCGAGCGGTAAATCTTTTGAACGCAGCAATAAAATCGACACTCTCTAAACTGCTTACAATTTCAATGTGAATGGCCTTTGTTGCCATGCAAATAAATATACATAGATAACCCTTAGACGTTTTACAACCTCGACCCTTAGATATACGCAAGTCAACAGGTCCAGCAAAATCAACTCCGCTATGCAAAAAGGGTCTTGTGGGTGTTACTCTTTGGGAGGTAGATCGGCCATTAATTGTGTACCAATAGTTGCACGGTGTCTGGCACAGATAACACATCTATGCACTTCTTGCTTAATCATTCTCTTGACACCGAGAATCCAGTAATTCTGTCTCAAGAAACTTAGCATGAGAGTTGGACCCCCATGTAAAGTTTTTTTATGTGCATTTGCGATAATTAGTTTGGATAAATAATGACAATCGGGCAAAATTATCTGATGTTTCGCTTCTTCAGGAATATTAGCGTGTCGTAAACGACCTCCGACTCTTAATATGCCGTTTTTATCTAAAAATGGACTAAGAGATCGCAGATTGCTGTATTGTTTTACAGCTTTACTGTCCTTAATACTCGCTATATCCTTAGAAAATTCTTCTTGCTGACATATAAGGATGCATGCTTTCAATGCATTGTCTAATTCTTCAGCTGTTACATGTTTCGGGAATTTGTTTATCCTTCTCTGTCCGAAACGTTTACAAAGTGCTATTACTCTCTGTAGTCTTGTCACTGTAGAAAATCGTGTAAATATTTCTGAAAAGTTATTCTCTATCTGTGTTGTAAATACTTTTACCGGTCTTTGTTCTATTTCTCCTTCTTTCAAATCTGGTAGGGTTATCATATGTTGTATAGTATCTCTTCTCAGCCATTCTGGCCCTTTCCACCATAATGTCTCTTTCTTTAACTTAGATGCAGTAACTCCTCGAGATGCTAGATCAGCAGGGTTCTCCTTGGATGGTACATGAAACCAATGATGACCAGGTAATGAGGTTATTATATCAGATGTCCTATTTGCCACAAATGTCTTCCATGTGCTTGGATGTTTCTGTAGCCAAGATAATACGACGTTCGAGTCAGTGTATGCATAAATGTGCTGTCTTGGTACATTCAAATGTTCTGCAATCTCAATAAGCAGCCGTGTTAATAAGACCGCTCCACATAACTCCAAACGTGGCAACGATATAGTTTTTACCGGAGCCACCCTAGTGCGAGCTGAAATTAAATGAATATGGATCTTATGGTTAGAATCTGTAACTCTTGCATACACTACTGCCCCGTATGCTACAGTGGAGGCATCTGAGAATCCATAAAGTTCTAGTTTTGTATCTAAACTAGTTGTATTTAACCATCTCTCTACAGTAATATCAGATAAACAGTGTAATTCTTCTCTGAACTTGAGCCAATTATATGCCAAGTCACTAGGCACTTCTTGGTCCCAGGTTACACCAGTAAGCCATAGCTTCTGCAAAAAAATCTTACCAATGATGATAACTGGCGCAAGCCATCCCATTGGATCAAATAATTTGGCTACATCTCGTGCAATAGATCTTTTTGTCACTGGAGATGATATATCTGGAATATCTACTGAATACTGAAACTCATCTTTTGTTCTGTCCCATACTATTCCTAATGTTTTAATTGTACCTTCCAGTTGAAACTCTAACTCAGTAACTTCATCATCTGCTTTTCTCATATAACTTAGAAGCTCTGTATCATTAGTATTCCACTTCTGTAACTGAAACTTGCCAGCAGCCATTAATCCATTCATCTCATCATAAATCTTTTTAGCGGTTTCTATTGTATCTGCACCTGATAATAAGTCGTCCATATAAAAATCTGTAGTTGTAATTTTTGAGGCCAAGGGATACTTATTCGTCTCCTCCTTTGCAAGCTGATGCAGAGTTTTTGTCGCTAAATAAGGAGCACTGGCAGTACCGAAAGTGACTCTAGTCATTCTATAATGTTTAACGTCTTCAGTAGAATTGTTTCTCCAAAGGAGACGTTGATAATTTGAACTTGCTTCGTCAACTTTAATTTGCAAATACATTTTTGTAATGTCGGCCACTAAACAGATCTTGTGGTATCGCCATCGTAGAATGATGTGGCGTAAATCTGGTTGAAGACGAGGACCAACCATGAGACTATCATTGAGTGAAGTTCCGTTTTTGTATTTACACGAAGCATCCATTACAACTCTCACTGTCGTCTTTTTCGGATTAATCACGGCATGATGAGGTATATAAACAGCTGTTGGTATCTGTCGATCATGTTCCTCGACTATCTCTTCCATGAAATCTAAATTTAGGTACTCCTTCATGACATGACTGTATTGTTTCATTAAATCAGAATCTTTTTGTAAATCTCTTCTCCAATTGTATCAGTCGTCCTTCAGCTATATCTCTCGATGATCCATATTGACAAGGTGGATTTGCTTCTCTAAATGGTAGGCGTACTATAAATCTACCACTTTTATCTCTAGTATAAGTCTCCTCATACATTTTCTCACATCGACTCTCCTCTTCAGTAAGAATCTTCTCATGTTTAGAATCAGATTCCATCTCCCAAAATTTTTGTAGTAAATTATCCTCAATTGTTAGATGCATACTAGTCGTGATTTTGTAGCTTTGTATAGTCTCCTCATTGTGCAACCGGCCTAACAAAATCCACCCGAGGTATGTATTTTGCGCTATAATGGTACCACGGGGGCCTTTTCTTAATCCTTCTTTCAGGATCTCACTGTAAATTTCTGCACTCAACAGGATATCAACCTTCCCAGGTGTGTCAAAGTATGGATCTGCTAAATCCAAGTTGTGCAGATGTAGCCAGTTCTGTTCGCGTATTCGTTGAGCAGGTAGTGCCCGAGTAATCGACTTCAAAACAAACGCCTGTACTGGTACAGTGAAGTTTGAATCATATCTCGATTGTGCAACGAATGTAACCATGCTAGTGGATGTGAGACTTGCTTTGTCATTGTCGCCCAGTCCATTAATTGTGCATCTGACTGTAGTTTTCTTTAATCCAAGGAACTGTGCAGCGGACTCCGTTATAAATGAACCTTCGGATCCCGGGTCTATCAGAGCACGCAAAGAATATGTAGTCCCATTTGTTGTATGAATTTTAACCAATGCTGTGGCCAACAGCACATTTTTGGTCATTTCCTGGTCCGCGTAATGGGCCGCTACATTGTGTTCGACTGGTGTTGTAGCTACTTCAGGTTGTCTATTATCTCGTATGTGTGAACTTCCTCCTGCATCTGGAGAAAGATGATCTGAGGTGTTTCCTTCGGGGTGAATAAGTGAATGGTGTTTCTTACCACATCTCCGACATGTAGACCTTTGTTTACATTTGTCAACGGTATGATACGGAATCAAACAGTTGTAGCATAATCTGTTCTGTTCCACGAAGCGTTTGCGATCAGTATATGTAAGGTGGGCAAATTCCTTGCATTGATATATAAAGTGATTCCCGTGACAATATTTACAACTAGTTTTGAAGGTCGTGTGAAAGGTGTTCTGCCTTGTACTAGGTCTGGACATGGTCTTTGTGGATTCCAACATCTCAAGAGTGCGAAAACGTGACTCAAGGTAGCTGCATAATTGTTTAAATGTCGGCAAGCTATTACCGTCGTCTTCTAGACTGATTTGTTGTTCCCATAAACGGATAGATTCTGGATCTAATTTAGTGACAGTTAGGTGAACTAGAATTGCATCCCAACTCAAGGTGTATACTCCAATATTGTTCAATGCACTTAGACATTCATTTGTTGTGTCAAGCAGGTTTTTAATAGTTCCTGCTGATTCTGTAGATAGCGACTTTTGTGACAGTAATCTTTTTAGAATAGATGTGACGATAAATCGTTTATTATTATATCGCTTTTGTAATATCACCCACGCATCTTCATAATTAGCTTCACTTATGGGTATGTGTTTTAATAATGTTGCTGCTTCTCCACTCAGACTAGACTTAAGATAATGTAGTTTTTGTACGTCCATAAGTGCTGAATTTCGATGAATAAGCGACACAAATAAATCATGAAATGGTATCCACTCGGAATATATTCCTGTAAATACGGGAATATTAATATGGGGTAATTTTAATTCCGGAGTCATAGCTGTAGGTGCTTTCGACTGAGACGACGTGGTCTGATTACTATCTGAAGTCGGATTAGGTGAACAAAATGTCTTAAGAATCTCCTTCATCTCACATTTAGCAGCAGTAAAAATATCTTCAGTTAAATCATAAATTTCATTCTTTATGTAATCTGATTCATGTATATTAATCTCAGTGGTTATCATTAATATTTGATGATTTTGTTTAAAGTTGTTCCATAAATCTTCTAACAATTCTAATTTTACTTGAGCGTATGTTTCCGTCAGTCTAGCTTTAGGTGTTTTCTTAAAGTTTTTTAAAGCCTTGTCTAATTGTTTATGTAATTCAATTTGTGTTTTAATTAAATTCGCCATGTTAAATTATCACAAAATAAAGTCCAAATAAAGTATTCACAGAAACAATTTACTAATCAGAGAAAACACAAAATGTCATTTAAACAGTATATTTTAAAGTCCTTGCAATGCAACACGAATTATTCTAAGTCTCTGACAGATGCGTATGGTTACAAGTTAATAAAATATTGCAAATATTTCAAAGTTCCAAAACACTCAAATTTCTAAAGTTATTAGGAGTATCAAATTTTTCTATTTGATTAGAAGAAATTATTCAATGTTTTTAGGAGTATTCAAATTGCAAGTTTTTAGGATTATTAAATTTTAAAGTTTTTAGGAATGTCTACTAAATTTTTCACTACAAAGTTACTTTTAATAACTTTTAATTCACTAAGTTCCACTTTTAATTATTTTGTACTCACTGTTCTTTAAAGTCCAAAGTCCTTTGTCACTTTCACATTTTCTTCACTTATCCACTTTTGTCACTTTTACTTTTTCTTCACTTATCCACTTTTGTCACTTTTCTTCACTTTACCTTTTCACTGTCTAAACACTACGACGCGATATACTAAGCGAACGCGATTTTTTTTAGAATCCGGCTGTCGAAAGACCAAATGAAGACGTCCGCGCCGCGATATTCAGACAGCCCAAAAACCTCGAAATGAAACACCACATACGAGGGAAAGAGTATAATGATATCAAAAAATGGTGTTACAAAATAATGAATAATAAAATTTTACAATTGTGTATATCAATCGATGAAAACGAAATAATATCGAGTTTCAGAAATCTAACAGCGCCATCTAGTATTCATTTCGGAACTAAATTACGTAAACAACATTTGCATTCTACAGATAATCATTGTGAAATATATAACCTATTTGCTACATTATTTTTATACTAACAATACTATTTAATTATACAGATACTACATTTATAATCAATACATACTAGATATAGTGGCGCCCTCAACACTTCCTATGTGATGGGTTGAAAAAATCGATTTTTTTTTTTTCATAAATTGCTCCCTTAACATGTCTAGAATACGGTAGTAAAGCGATTTTAGAAAATTCGAAGTCGTTTTAAAGATACAGCAGGTAAAAGAAAGAGCTGTTCGGAGCGGTGAGTTGGCAGTTAGAGACCGGGCCTATTGTGTACCGTCGGCTTTATACCTGGCCTCCCTTTTATTAATATATTTGTTTATACAAGTTTAGACACGTTTCTACAGACTTAAACAGAAATTTCTATTGTTATAATATTTTACCGAAGTTATTTTAGTCTTGGTTGAACTTCGAAGAGAGCAACAGCTACAAATTATTTTTTTTCATAATGAGTGGACGGAAAGGAAGTACGAGTGGATTGGTTCTTCTGATGAAAACCCTCAGCATCAATTTTGTCCAGAAGGCGAAGACAGTTGGTGTAAATGGCGTAAGGCTGAAGCTAATAATGAACTGGACCAATTTCATCACGATAAACCACCTCTAATTCCGCAAGTCCTATCTATAAAAGCTATCAAACCGGTTTTCGAAGATTTATCGAAAGACGAATTATTAATTCGTTGTTTAGGAGCAGAGACACAAAACAATAACGAATCTTTGAATTCTTTGATTTGGACTTTCGCTCCTAAACATCTTCATTCTGGTCCCAAAGTTGTTGAAATTGCTAGCTACTTAGCAGTTGTTATCTTTAATGAAGGTTTTCAAGGTATTTTAAAAGTTATGTCGATTATGGGATGCCCTGTTGGTCGTGAAGCCCAAGCGTATGTTGAGAAACGGGATGAAAAGCGAATCTTACGCTCTGAGCGGCGCGTAAGTGATGTCGTTAAACAAGCCAGGATTGACTCAAGAGCTGAACAATCTGCTTTAAAAGAGTTTCACGAGGAAGAGGAAGGAATACTCTATGGACCAGGCATCGCCGATTGAGAGTAAGTTGATATTTTAATAGTTTTTAACGGACTTGAAACTTTAAACGCGTTTTTCTCAAAACTGTGTTTTTCAAACTTTCCTCCATTGTATCTCAGAAACGGCTGGACCGAATTACTTGAAATTTACAGGGCACACTCAATATATGTAAACGCATGGAATGAACTATTATCAATCGAAAATTTTCAAAACTTCGATTTTTTTATAGCAAAAAACAAAAAAAAAACGCCTAATTTGCAACTTTTATTTCAAATGTCTATCAAAAATCCAATTTTTTTTATATTCATTTGATTATAGGTCATTCCGTGCTTTTAAGCCTACAAATTAAAACGCCGTTTTTTTTTTTTTTCAGATAAGCCGATCAGCCGGAATCGTGGAGGAAGTGGGAGCTCTTTTTTTCGAGGCGGGGGTGTTCAGAGCGCTGTAACTCTAGTTTGACTGAATATTTTTAGCTGAAATTTTATATTTATACTGTCCAAATATGTGTTAATAAATGATAAAAAACTTGAAGCTCTAAATATTTACTGGTCGTAGAAAAAAAAATCCTAAAATATCCCTAAAAAACAGGCCGCCACATAGGAAGACCCCTTTAACGTTATTTTTCTAAAAGAAAATAACTTTTCTAAAATTATAGTAGCCTAAGTTAGTCCTTATTACATCAGCTACCTGCCAAAAAAAGTCATCAGCCAAAAAAGTCAAATGCATGGAGTAAATATTCAACACGTTTTATATTACCACTTTTGGTTCCGTTATTCACATCGCAGGGAAAGGCAATATGCAGCATTATTTTACCACTTAAATGGTATATGTATAAGTATAAAAAAAGTGTACCATTCAACAATATACTGCGTCTGTACATACGAGGTCATCTTTATCATCGATTAAAAATCTTATATATAAAATGTATATCAAATAAAAATCATATTAGAAGCAATAAAGTTTATTAAAACTAT